TTGTGCTAGTCACCACACACATCACAAAAATACATGGGTTGCACCTCTGGAAAGATGGCAAAACCCTTAACAAAACATATGTAGAGCTCCTGGGCATATCATGCACACAATAATCATGGCAAAAATGACAAATATCTAAATGGAGCAGCAGATCTGACGATTATCTCAAGTAGCACTCTTCCAACAGCATTTCGGGTATCAATATGAACTCAAATGAAAATGATGCAATGAGATGAAATGATGTACTCTCTGAGACGAACATCTTGATATGCTATATGCCCAAAACGGATCTCCGGATGCAAAGTTACGAGGCGATGAACATGTGCATTTGAAACGTGGGGAAAAAATATGGTGAGCTTTGGATACTAAAGTGTGCTCAGGGCGAGGCTTAGCAGGACGCTCACCAAGTGGGCTCGGCCCACGGGAAGAGGAGAAGGCAGGCCGGCGGGCCGGCTGGAGCTGTGCCTGCGAGGCTAAGGCCCACGCGGCCACGCACGGTCAACAGCGTCGATCAGAGCTGGATCGGTTCCTCCCGATCCATGGTGGTGGCGGCGCTGGAGAATCTCCGGCGAGGCTCGAGGCGACGACGGCGGCCGGAGAGCGATGGGAAATGCCGGGGACGGCGCGGGGGCTGCCGGATCTGGCCGGAGGTGGCCGGATCCGGGCGATGGCGAGGTGGAGTGAGGCGCCAGAGCGGGCGGCGCTCGCCGGCGAGTTGTGCCGCGGCGGCGGCGAAGCGCGCCGGCGAGGAGGCGGCGCAAGGTGTCGGCGAGGACGGGCGGAGCTGGCGGCAGAAGGACTCGGGCCGGGGAGGGCCGGATCTGGGCGCCTCGGGCCCGGCGGCGCGGGGACGGCGGCGGTGGACAGGTGGTGCGCCGCAGTTGGACACGGACGACGGAGCAGACATGTCCGGCGTGGGGGAATTTTGTCCGGCGGCGCGGAGAGGACGAAGTTAGGGTTTCATCCGCGAATTTCGGGAGGGGAGCACATATTTATAGGTAGAGAGAGCTAGGAGAGTCCAAATAAGGTGCGGTTTTCGGCCACGCGATCGTGATCGAACGCTCTAGATGATGGAAAGGGTTTTGGTGGGTTTTGGGCCAAATTGGAAGGATGTTAGGCTGCAACACACACGAGGCCTTTTCGGTCCCTCGGTTAACCATTGGAATATCAAACGAAGTCCAAATGGCACGAAACTTGACAGGCGGTCTACCGGTAGTAAACCAAGGTCGCATTACAAGTCTCGGTCCAATCCGGAAATGTTTAATCCCCACACACGAGAAGAAGATAGAAATGACCACCAGAGGAGAACGGAGCACCGGAATGCAAAACGGACAACGGGAAAAATGCTCGGATGCATGAGACGAACACGTATGCAAATGAAATGCACATGATGACTTGATATGCAATGCATGACACGCAAGCAATGACAAGGCAACAACGGCGAATAACTGGACGACACCTGGCACATCGGTCTCAGGGCGTTACAGTTCTAGTGGAAACATGTTTCATTTGCAGATGTTATAATCGTGGTATCACCAATGTTAGCTTTCGAAGGACGCTTCAAAGATATCCGTCCTGGCTCCATTTGGTTCAGCGATAAATGTGGATTAGCCCAGCACAAAACAAGTGTAATAACCTAACACATGAGCCGAGTGTGACAATGCGTTCCAATTTAGCTCCATGTTTTAGGCTCTTTCTCATTGAAATCAATGTATGTGCCTACTAGGTGAATGATGATTATCAATTTTGTAGTCAAAATCTTTATTTGGTACATGTGTAGAGGACTGCCCTCATATTTTGTGCCCTTGAAGTGGATTTGTATGGCATGTCGCAGTCTGTCATCCTTGGGTGATACTAGTAATATTCCCAACTCTCAAGGACAAAGTCAGCAAGCACCGGTGACTTGATGGCGGTTCCCGAGATGAAGCCAATGGAAAAAATCGCCCAAGCTCCACCTCCCACTTTGAGATCCTTTTAGTGGAATGTTGACTAATATCAATCCTAGGGATAATTGGTTGAGATCACCAGCAGATGTGCTTGGAAGTAATCTCGCACCTTGCGGGAGACCAGGACCACTTTGTAAAACTTCAAGGTGGTCGGGCATCGTTTCTTGGGACCATGTAGAACCTCACTGACAAAGTATACATGTCACTGTTTCCTCTCATATTGTCCTTCCTCCTCTTGTCGCATGACCACCGGGATGCCACTCACGACTATCGGTCTTGCCGCAATGTAAAGTTCATCAAGCTTGGGAGCTACCAGGACTGGAGGATTGGTAAGGTAGGATTTGACATATTGGAACGTTGTGTCAAATTCTTTAATCCACTTGAACTTGCCCATCTTATAGAGCACCTTGAAGAAAGAGGGGTCTTTGTTGCTCAGTCGAGCAATGAAGCGACCGATAGTGGTCATGCACCCGTTGACCCGCTACTCATCTTTTATTTTTTTGAGGGGTTTCATTTATTTGATAACTTTGATCTTCAATGAATTGACCTCAACACAATATTGGATAACATGAACGTAAGAAGCTTGCCAACATTAACACCATAGATGCACTTCTCAGGGTTGAGCATCATATGTTTTTTCTTCGGATGCAGAAAGTGTGTGGGACTAGTCCCCCCTTCTTATTGGACAACATCGGGTGATTGATGTACAATTCATGTTTCAGCCCATCTGCTCTTCAAAGCTACTATGGTAAGTAGTCACAATATTAACTAGGTTGAAAGCATCTTGGCGTAACAAAACACTCCTAGTAGTGTGATGTGATTCAGAACTTCATGCTCACTTGGCGATATAAAGAGTATGCATCCCGAACACAAAGGTACTCATGGTCTGATGTTGAGTCGACTATCTCGTGGATTCACGATAGGGGTACATATATTTGGGACAAGCTTTCTTGAGGTTGTTGAAGTCTAGGCACATCTGCCACTTACTTGTTGGGTTTCAGGACCAACACCAGCTTGGCTAGCCAGTCGAGGTGTTTTTGATGTCTGACCGATCTCTTCTTGAATGGCGACCTTTCGGTCAGGGGCTAATATTCCAAACTTCTGCAGGATAGCCCCCAGGGAACACATGAAGGTGATATTCAACAACTTCTCGTGGGATCCCCAACATGTCCAAGCTGTAACAGTAACATCTAGATGGTTTGGAAGGACGCGAGGAGTTCCTGCTCATGCCGAGCATCCAGTGTTGCCCCTGATCTCGACGATTAGGGAGGGGTCTAAAGTGACCCCCCGACCTCACTGTGTATAGTCACAACCACCTTAATTAGGTTGGGCGTGCTTCTTCATGCCCGAGAATCCGATGATGGTCATGTCCAGGACAGATGCTTGCCGCGTTGTCATTGCCGTGTTTCTAACATGAGAGTTGTAGACGAGATTTGTTTGGGTCCCATAGTGGGCTTGAATTGTCGATGATTAATTCACCATCGGTCGTATGTTCTACTGGGAGGTTGTGGAAGACAGTAGTGGGAAGAGTGGTGCTCCAAGAATTTCATTGATGGTGATGGTGACATGGTGGTTTTACCCAAGTTTAAGCCCCCGAATGGGTAGGTGATGGTGACATGGTGGTTTTACCCAAGTTTAAGCCCCCGAATGGGTAAAAGCCCCTGCATGTGGTGTATATTGATCAATTGGGGAATTACAGTAGTGTAATCTATGTTGATAGTCAGGCAGTTATTTGTAGGGAGATACGATATGATTTAAAGACCATGTTGTTACTCGGGCATAGCTAGATCACAGGCTTAGTGTGCTAGTCCTTATCCCTTTTGAGTGTCTACTCGGGCATGGCTGGATGCGGGCCCCGGTATGTACCAAATGTAAAAAAGACGAGGAAAATAAATAAATAACTGCTAAGCTACAGGGGTTACCGTTGGAGTTGGATCATTGTCTGGGGCTAAAAAATGGAGCAGCCCCATTTGACATCCACGGGCTTTGTTTTACGGCTTTCTGCTAGAAATTCTCTAAGGTTCGAAATAAAGATTATTATAGCCTTTATCTTTAATCTATTGTCATTCGCCGAACTACCGTTGGCAAGGGATGCTCTGTCATCACACGTACTGTATACTCGTAACTACTCCCCCGTTGTCTGGGAGATAAGCCCTGTGAATCGGGAATGAGGGAGTATTTTCAGCATGAGCGGTGCTATGCTGAGCATCAACTGGGAATAAACAACTAGCTAGTCAACGATCCCGTCCATAGTTCCATATTGATATTGATAGAGAGTTAGAGACCCATCGACGCTCTGGAGGTCATAGTGCTGCCGCAGTAACCCGAGCAATTAATGTGGATGCAGAGATCTCGATCCCCATCTTCACTAGCCGCCGGGTCGTCGGAGCCAGTAGCTGATAAGGCGTGAGATCCACTCGTTCGAATCAGATCCGATGATTTCTTTCGCTTCTTTTTTCCCGCCTTGCGATCCTCGTGTGTACAGTGTACGTTAGACTACTCACTGGCCGGGCTATAAAAGGAGCCGGTGTTTCCTTTCATGGCAGGACACGATCTAGCTCGCTCGCCCTTCTCATCATTCTCTCTAAGGCAGCCTCCATTACAGGCAGCTCTCAGGCTGCTGAGTTCATCCTGCTGTTGCGAGAAGGTATCGGTTTCTCGCGCTTGTGTTGTGCGCTGCACACACATTCCATTGCCCGTTTCTACTTTTGTGGTATACACACACATACAGTATTACCGTACGTGTAGTCCCTGAGCTTTGGTTGTTCTCTGTCAACTGTTAAATACTCCTACATGCTGGGACCGTTGTATTTGCGCCGGCTGGTTTTGAAATTTCGATGTGTTCAGGTATAGGTAGATTGATATGTGTTAAACCTAGCTATAATCATGCTGGTTTCCACTAACTTGATGCATGCCGCCGCCAAGAGAGGAACCTCTCACTGCAATAGCCCACATCCCCACAACTGTTCTTCTTTGCTGCATATATAAGATTCGTCGAATGTTTACTCACATAATTGGTATCCCTTTACTCAGGTCTAAGTATAGTCAGACAAGATGGGGAGTGTGCACAAGGCCACCTTCGTTCTCCTCATGTTCTGCTTGGCGGTGCTGGGGAGAGCAGAATATCTCAAGTACAAGGACCCGAAGCAGTCGATTGGTGTTCGCGTCAAGGACCTGCTCGGCCGGATGACTCTCGCGGAGAAGATCGGCCAGATGACGCAGATCGAGAGAGAGAACGCCACGACGGGGGTGCTATCCAAGTACTTCATAGGTAAACCATAGCTAAATAGTATGTTGCAAAATATGGTGAAGGACTGCAGAGTTTGTGTTTGATATTGGTGTGCATGCTGTGATGCAGGTAGCGTGCTGAGTGGTGGAGGCAGCGTGCCTTCTTCCAAGGCATCCGTTGCGGCTTGGCAGTCGATGGTGAACGAAATGCAGAAGGACGCCATGTCCACCCGCCTGGGTATTCCGATTATCTACGGTATTGACGCTGTGCATGGTCACAATAACGTCTACTAAGCCACCGTCTTCCCCCATAACGTTGGCCTCGGAGCTACCAGGTGTGAATTTCTCTTGATTTTTGATAGGTTGTGATAATTTTGTACAAGAAGAGAAGACCACAATGTGATGCATATGTTAACTCCCCGTCTATATGTATTGTTAACGTGTCCCGGTCTTCCAGGGACCCTGAGTTGGTGAAGAGGATAGGAGAAGCAACTGCTCTTGAAGTTAGAGCTACCGGGATTCCATACGTCTTCGCTCCATGTATTGCGGTAATGGATAATATTGTTGCGTCTTGAACAGTTGGTCTGCGTAACAAACATTTTTTTGAAGAAAATATGGCAAAGATTTACTGTTCTTACTTACTCATTTATTTGTTTATGATCAGGTTTGTAGAGACCCAAGATGGGGACGCTGCTATGAAAGCTACAGCGAAGACCCAAATGTTGTCCGTTCAATGACCACAATCATCTCTGGCTTGCAAGGCGATGATCCATCAGATATCAAGGGAAGACCATATGTTGGTGGAAGGTATGTAATATACATCTAAAAGATTTCCATTATTTATGGTCTTATACCCTAACATGTAAATGTGAAAGTAATGTTACATTAGGAGAAAAAATGTGACTAACTTTGTCATCGCTTCGATACCCCTTTGCAGTAAGAAAGTTGCCGCATGTGCAAAGCACTATGTTGGTGACGGTGGTACGTTTATGGGGATCAATGAGGGCAATACAATCATCGACGAGCATGGGTTGATGACTATTCATATGCCTGCTTATTATAATTCTATCATCAGAGGCGTCTCCACTATTATGGTCTCATACAACAGTTGGAACGGAAAGAAAATGCACGCCAACCATCACCTAATCACGGATTTCCTCAAGAACAAGCTCAAATTTAGGGTATGTTTCTCATGACTGGCAAAAGATTGATCTCCGTATTTGTTTTTCTTCTTCAATATGAAGAGATACTCATGACATTAATCTCTTGGTATTTTGTGCATATAGGGTTTTGTGATTTCTGACTGGCAAGGCATTGATCGGATTACTACTCCCGAACACCTGAACTATTCTTATTCAATTGAGGCCGGAGTTGGTGCAGGTATTGACATGGTAAGCAAAGTCCAATCACCTTCTATGGACAAAGGTTGAGTTAATAGCTAGCATGATAAAGTATGTTCCTTGTCTGGTTATGATACATTCTTGACAATTGTTATCTCATCTGCAGCTAATACAAATGTGGCATTTTCTTCACTAGCTATATTTAAGATACAAATTAAAATATGTGAAAACATACCAATAGACCCTCTCTCTCTCTCTCTCTCTCTCTCTCTCTCTCTCTCTCTCTCTCTTCATTATTGGTTAAAAAGGTATTTTGCATGTGTTGTTTTGCAGATCATGGTTCCTTTTGCCTACACAGAATTCATCGATGAACTTACATCTCAAGTTAAGAAGAACATTATCCCCATGAGCAGAATCGACGATGCTGTCTACAGGATTCTTCGGGTCAAGTTCACCATGGGTCTATTTGAGAACCCTTATGCCGATCCAAGCCTCGCCGGCGAACTCGGAAAGCAAGTTAGTTCCGGACAACATACTTTCTTTCTCTCACACTTCATTCTTGAAAATATAAAATTCTTACTGTAAATTCCTTCCCATTGTTAGGAACACCGAGAAATTGCTCGGGAAGCCGTCAGAAAATCACTGGTGTTGCTGAAAAATGGAAAATCCGCCTACACTCCATTGTTGCCCCTCCCCAAGAAGGCCGGCAAGATCCTCGTCGCTGGAAGCCACGCCGACAACTTGGGCAACCAATGTGGAGGATGGACGATCACATGGCAAGGATTGACCGGCAACGACAATACTACTGGTAAATAGTGTCTGTTGTTTCACTGCTTCTAGTGCTAATTTGTAGCAACGTCGCCGTTCATCAATGAAACAAAAATTCATGGAAACGTATGATGAAACGCAGGGACGACCATCCTTTCGGCGATCAAGTCCACCGTCGACCCCAGCACGCAGGTGGTCTTCTCGGAGAACCCGGACAGCGCCGCCGTGGACAGCGGCAAGTACGACTACGCGGTTGTGGTTATCGGCGAGCCGCCCTATGCTGAGACGTTCGGCGACAACCTGAACCTGACGATCCCTGCCCCCGGACCCTCGGTGATCCAGACCGTCTGCAAGAGTGTCAAGTGCGTGGTCGTCCTCATTTCCGGCAGGCCGCTGGTGGTGGAGCCATACATCGGCGCCATGGACGCGTTCGTCGCCGCGTGGCTGCCCGGCACTGAAGGGCAGGGCGTGGCCGACGTTTTGTTCGGCGACTACGGGTTCACCGGGAAGTTGGCGAGGACGTGGTTCAAGTCGGTGGACCAGCTGCCGATGAACGTCGGCGACAAGCACTACGACCCGCTGTTCCCCTTCGGGTTTGGCCTCACCACGCAGGCCAAGAAGTGAGTCCGGTGAGATGACCGAGATGGAATGTATCTCGGTTGGGCTGTGAGAGATGGGATACATTGCGTTTATGGTTGATTTGCTTTCAATAAAAGAGCGATGTATTCTTCCGGCTGTTGTGGTGTTAGTTCTGTTGTGCAACAAAATCTAGCGCTTTGTTCTTGAGACTAGCGCTTTGTTCTTCGACATCCTCCCATCAGAGAGTACGTGAGAAACAACGCCCCAGCCTTTCAAAAATGTAGGGAGACCCAAAAGTGAAATAGCGCCCCAGCTTGGCTCTACCTCTCTTGGATTGGCAACTAAAAAGAGTAGACTTTCAATTCCTTGAGCACAAGGTTCCAGGGAGGCTTGTCTCATGGGAGGGCAAGAATATCACTGCATTGGCCGCACCGCTCTTGTCAAGTCGGTGTTCACCTCTCAAGGGGTTTATCATCCGAGCACCCCTTACCTCGACCCCTCTTTGTCATCCAGATCCCACCTTGTTTCTGCTCGAGGGAGTTGGGAGCCGCCGCCCCTCTCCTCGACCCCCTCCCTCCCGATCTAATCTAAGGCTTCAAGCCACCGCCGACCCTCTCCTCGCTGCCGCTGGAGCTCCGCGGGGCAAAGCCCGGGCGGGGGATGATGGCGGCGGCGGGGCCTTCCTCTACCGCGACGCCAGGATGCGGCTGCGGTGGAGATCCATGCGGGTGTCCTAGACTTGCGCATCGGTAGCGTAGCGGTGTGGGGCCCTCCGCCGTCGATGGCTCACCCAGGCGGGGCGGCGGTTTTCGGGCGGTGGTGCGGCTCTGGCCGTGCGGTTTCCTAGCAGCAGACGTCATCCATGGGCATGCTGGATGACGGAGGAGGTTGATCTGGTGGTCTAGCCGGGGATGGGCGCGAATTTGCCAGTGAAATCTTGGTTTGGTGTCAGCCAGAAACTGCCAACGACGCTGCCCGCGAGTGTTGTTACCTCGCTGGAGGCGTTGTGAGCGATTTGTGTTCCCTGTGTGCCCCGGGGGAAACACCAGATTTGGGCTTTCCAGATCGGATGATGGCGAGGTTCCTGCGTCGTCACCCCCATGGCATCATCTTTTGGGTTGTACATCAGCTGGAGGGACAAGTGTTTGGCTTGTTGGTGGTTGGGAGCAGGTCTCCGTATGCTTCTTATGCGGTAACCAAGGTGGAGCGCGTGCCATCTACAGTATCGACGACGGTGAGTCTTGGCGGCAAGGTGCAGCGGAGTCTCGACGTTGGATACCATATGATGAGCACGCGTAGGAGGCTGGCGTTGTCCGGCATCGTGGTGGTGTCGACGGCAGAAGGGCCTGGAATGATCGGTGCATTGATTGCTCATGGGACTACGGAAGAAGGCGGTGACGGATTCTACAGCGTGCGCATGCGGTGCATGCTGAAGGTTTACTAAACCAGTTGGTGCTCCCGGCTAGCCAGCGGGCGGCTTGGTGAGGCCACCGGATTTCTAGGTGTGCATGGCGCGACGTCAGGGCACATCATTTATCTCGTGGGTAGGGCGATTGTGTTCGCCAGAAAGGTGTGGCTTTGGGTTGATCTATGCATTTATTTTGTAAGACCTTATCGAATAAAATAGTAAAGATGGTTGTGTGCATCGCTTGATGCCGAGGAGGGGATAATCCTCCTTTGCGAAAGAGAAAAAAATCCAGGCACCCTTCACAATGTTAAGCTAGAGTAGGCTTTCCTTTGGTCGAGAACGAACAAGACCTTGGTGTAGAATGCGAAGTCAATTGGCATATTATTGTCCGGTGGCACGACTTTCGCGGTTTTCGTGTGCTCAATACCGAGAAATTCACGAGGCTCTTATATTGCATAGACCTTGGTTTGAATGGAAGGAGCTAAGCAAGATGTGGGTTGGAATGGCCAATCTTTGCGATGAAACGGATGTCAAATTGTTATATCATTCACTACCATCGTCGTTGGTGACGACGCGAGGACTCCTTTTTGAGACTTCCCCTTGGTGAAGGGCATAATCCCCAGGAGATAACACCACTCATATATGTGGCATCCACGAGAAATAATTTGAAGGCAAGATAAACTTTAAAGGATGATGTTTGGATCACCAAGATCAAAATTTCTACTATCTCTCTATGGCTCACATTCGAGAATTTATAACCCTTAGGGCACTTCTTCGCGACTTGCACCTGAATGAAAATGCATGGTAGACATTGTTTGGAAGCACATGGCTAGTGGCCACTACTTGGGGGCATATGCGTACATGGCATAATTTTTGGGGCTACCCCTATGAACCTCACGGTGTGGTAAGCTTGGGCATTGTCAAAGATCAAATTCTTTGCTTGGATGCCTATCCAAAATAGGATTTGGACCGCCGATATACTGGACAAGAGAGGGTGGCCAAATTGCTCCTATGCCCCTAATGCAAAAGAGAGCATGAATATGTGGTGCATATTTTCTAAAAGTACTGGTTCATTCTGAGGCTATGGAATTTGACCAATGAGTGGTTCCAACTCGAGAGCATTGTCACATCCACATGACACTTGGAGCTCTCTAACAAGGACTGGTGGCTTAATTTATTTAAAAAATACAAATATGAAA